CAGGAGGTCTACTCCGGTTCTCGAATGCGAAGTTTCGTTTGATTTGCGGCGGCAAACAACGTTTTCGGAACCATAGACAACTTTCGTGAACTACAATGAACGAATGAAGTGAAGATAAATAAATGGGCAATAAGTAGGTTTAGATTCGAAATTAAATATAAAATTTTATTTTAAGTAATTATATTACTAAAATCATAATGCCATGGCTTAGCACACATAATCATCAAGAAAATCATGAATAATCTTTTAATATTAACGTTTAAGATGGAAAATCTTAAGCAGGATAAGAACCTCCTTTCAAAAATTTATTATACGACCAAGTTAAAAAGTTTTAGAATGTTTTTTTTTGTCATTTATTGACATTTATGTATAAAATAATGACAACCAAATTTATTCGTATTATATTAGTACAGTCAGTTTAAAAATTATAAATGTCTACATGAGAATTTGAAGAGACTAAATTATTTCGTGTTATGATGATTAAAAATATATTTTTGAAAAAAATTATCTTATCTATAAATGTTGGTATAGTAATAGATGTGAAAGAATAGCGAAAATATATACTAGCAATACTTAAGTTAATTTTTCTAGCGGTATTATTAGTTTTAAAATAAAACATTACTCATTAAACATTTATGTTCAATACATAAGTTATTCAAATAAGTATTTGATTAACCTAAATGTTACTAACTCTCATAGACATATAAAATATATAGGTTCGTGTTAACGAACTATTTGAGCTGACTGTACATTGATTTTATATCGTCATTTAAGTAGTTCTTTTGGTGCCCTACGTGTTGCCCACACAAAGAAACCGTGACAAAACGAAGACTTATAATTACTTTCCTTCATTTTTCAATAAATTTAACCCAAACGAAAATCAAACGATAACTATTTTGGTTTCGTTGAAATGACATTAAACGTCCGAAGAATAATCTGTCAAACTCGAATTTTCGTTCGTGCGGATTGTACAATTAGAGTAGGGTTCCGAAAATATCGATGTCAAACAGTACATCTCATACTAATTTCTGGCTCATTTCATTCTTTTTTCGTTCGTAATAAATGCCATTGTGGTAGGTAATGTTCGAAGTTTCGTCCGAAACTTCGTTTTTCGTCGAATCAGAGTAGACCTACAGAACAATCAGAAGATTCCGTACACATGCACAAATAGTTCAATAATTTTAATAGTAAATTATCATCGTTGGTGACATCATCGAGAAAAGTGGTACGTCACCATCACAGCACTATTTTCAATGTCACGCGGTGACGTCACCTGTCGTGCCCAGTGGCTGTCAAACGAGACCGCACGCCGTCTCTTTCGCACAATCGTGTTGTTCACTTGCTACAAAAACCACTTTACGCCTTTGGACGTATAGTATTTGATCGCGAGACTTCGTGCATTTACCGTGCGCCGTAATTATAATCAACAATCGACAAAGTGTGGTTATAACTTGTGTTTAAACAAAATTTGCAGTGATGGCACCCATAGGTCAGTAAGAATAAGCAGTCAAATTAGCATACATACCTCGGACACGGTCCGGCACGTCGCGAATATATTCTTTACCGTGTTCTGTTTAGTGAGATATTTCACCATCCCAAGGCCGAGGCCCCTGTTAGCTCCGGTGATCAAAACAGTCTTCATTTTGTGAACTGAACTTTAGATATAACGCCTTGACATTTGTGGAAACTTATCTTTTACAACCCTCAAAGGTCCGGTGTGTGTATTTTCTTGTCTCTGTCACATTTACGCACGTAACTTACGTCAAAATGACAATCCTAAGTAATTTTGTAAGGATAAATAATTTGTTAAAACCTTTAATAAAGTCAGACAGAGTGTTGATATTGGCACGACGGACTCTTAGTTCTCGTAAGTAGTCCACGATTGTCGATGTTATAACCTTGAAGTGCAGATAATTGTCTAACCTCACTCTTGATTGAGCAACTCAACTCATACAACCCACTTTTTGTAACTATTTTTTACGACAGATTTACTAAATAATTATGTTCGATTTAATTGCTAATTTCTTGTATTTTAAAGATGAAAATGTTCTAGAACAACTTCTTTTGTAAGAAAAATTAGGCATCCTTGGGATGGTGGAATCAATCCAAATGTTTTAGTATAGTGTTTAATTGCACAATGTTTAATGTAATTTTATGTGTCTATAAAGTTTGAAACTATATTCTTGTGTTGTAAACTTGAGCACATAATGCCAACTCCTTTTTTCCATAGTATTTAAATATTTTTATACATTATTATTTTCTGCCAGGCCTATAAGTAACTGACCAAGATCTTTGTTAAATCATAAATTATGCTCTCCAATTTGTTACAGTATATTCTATTTAATAAATGTAGCATAGATAGTAGTATTTCTATGAATCGGTTTAGTTACATGCCCATATTAAATAAAGTGTACATTGTGCTACAGTTTAAATTTGTTTGGTGATATCAGGCTTGCTGTGTTGTAGCCGTAAGAGCAAGTCGGTTGCTCCTATAGACAATACCCCTGAAGGTATGAACACTGTCCAACATTGCAGTATACATATTTGTTGTGCACCATGCTGTTGCATTGGGACTACAAAGGCAGTGGTTACAAAATGGGTTGCTATGAGCATATAATACATAATTATGTTGAGATGTGTACAGAACTTCAATTGTCTGCACTTTCTACATGAATTGCAATGTTCACAGGGGACGGATACAAATCATCATCAATTGCTTAACAAAAATTAAAGCTTTTTGTTCTCATTTTGTTGTAATAAAATATTAAGTAAGTTTTTCTTATTGGAACTATTGGAAACATTTGTTTGCTGGTCTGAGTATCTTATTGGATTCTGATTATTTCTCTGCTATTAATTTTGTAAAGTGAAATCTGAAATCATAAAATCACTCATAGCATTCATAATAACACAGCAAAAATTGAATTAACTTATTTAGTAGTAATTAGTAACTACACAATAATAATATATTACAATGTGTGTGTCTTACTAGTTTCTGTTCTAAGTGATTACAATAATTTTGTAGCACTTATCAGTGTGACATACTCATATAAGAGTCACTTTCAAAATGCATCAAATGCTGGCTTCCTTATAGGTAGCAATACTCCATGCAGATTATGTTTTAATAATAATATTCAAACTGACAAGAATATTATGCTTATTATAGATGGAAATTTCGACTATGATTTGGCGGTTATTGGTGGTGGTTCGGGAGGTCTTGCTTGTGCAAAGGAGGCCGTGAACCTGGGCGCGAAGGTAGCAGTGTTAGACTATGTGACACCCTCGCCGCAGGGCACCAAGTGGGGACTTGGTGGCACCTGTGTCAATGTAGGCTGCATACCCAAGAAACTGATGCACCAGGCAGCACTGCTGGGAGAAAGCATTCATGTAAGTTTTTTTTCTATTTCTGTTCTGAGTCTTAACTTAGACATACTTTGATAACCAAGTTCTTGAAAAAACAAAAAAAGTTTCATAAATTTATGTTTATTTATTGCAGTGTGTAAGTTTCACGTTACTTATATCCTACAATCGGAAAGCTGTCGTTTATGAGCTAAACTTTGGAATTTTTTGGTTATATTTTTCTTTTTTCTTATTTTGTAGATATAGAAAAATAAAGTAGACTTTCTAGAAATATTCGTAATATATAGAGAGTTAGTATTTTTTTAGATAATATAGTTTATATTTATATAATAGTGGCGAAATTTAGAATAGACAAAAGTCTATTCAAATTCCTTAATTAATGATGTTCAATCCCTGTCTAACCCAACAAACATAAGATACATATTCTTATTAACATTTAGCTCTGTCTTATGATTGATGCAAAAGAAGTAGGTATTAATGACTTTTTGACTATCAGTAATAAATCTTATTGCTTAATTTTTTAGAAAGTAACTTAGGTACTTTGCTTACCTAAACGTATTGCAATGTGAAAGTTGGTGAAGCTCTGTTAAAAATATTCAATGTTTATTATTATTTGAATCTTTTTGATAAGATTTAAGACGTTGCATCGAATTAATTCAAAATAACAGCAAAATATTTCTTGTCAGTATTTTTAGAGATAAGAAAGTAAAGTCTAATGATGGCGCGAACATTTTTCACGAGTCATTGTTTCGCATTCAATGGCTGGACGCTTGTCATGTGCCTTATCTCTATTTCACGCCAGAACACTAATAGCGGTATAAAGTACGCAGGGAACTACATAGTTATGTACGATTGTGCATTGTTCTAACTGCATGTATCTGCTGAACAACATTTGAATTTGGTTCACTGAACCAGGTTTAGACTGCTTTTACGCTTTTAAGTTGTAATAAATAAATAAATATTACGTAGAATTAACTAGGTTTGGGTAAATGATTACACTTGATTAATTACTAAGTGTAACCAATACACGCTATCGGTTTAATACTTATGTCATGAAAAAGTAACAACAACGCACGAATTTCATGTTTTTAAGTAGTATTGTAGTACCTACCTAAGTTCCAACTGAAATGTTACTCTGACTATTTCTCTTAAACGAAAAAAAAAGGAATGTAATTTCCCTACTTATCTATGTAATTCGGTTGCATAATGGATTATTAGGTTGATACTCCTATCTTGTCATTGTAAAAAGTACCTACACGCGTGTATGTGCTTAGTAAATACTTCTTTTGCAAGTCACCTGAATCTGAATGTAGCGTAACTATTACTAGATATCTAGCATCTAGAAGCGTCTATTCTCGGTTTGCTCGGACGTAAATAGTCCACAGAAATTGGAAACCTATTACCCACGCATAATGTAACACATACATAATTCAGATGTGACTCTCACTCTAATACATATAACAGGCGTACTTCACTGTACAATCCAATCCAATAAAAAAATAAAATATATCTTATACTATTCTATAAAGCTGAAGACTTTGTTTGTTTGAACGCTCTAATCTCAGGAACTACTGGTCTGATTTGATAAAATATTTTTGCGTTGGATAGGTCATTTATCGAGGAAGGCTAAAGGCTGTATCACTCTACGATTAATGGGCGCCGAGTAGAGCAGGTGAAACCGCGCGGACGCAGCTAAATTAACATCGTTTCTGCTAGAGTTAGATTACCGTACCTAAGGTAATTTTATCATTAGCGTGAAAATGTCCACAATGGATCATTGCTCCTCTCTTAACTCTTAACTCGTCGAGTACCGGTTTTGTAGACACAATTATAGAACAATAGGTTGCGGTCACCGGTGACCGCTTGGTGTTTGACAGTTTAAGAGGTGGATTGCCATAATACCCACGCTTGCAAGTCCCGCTTGCCTTTATTTCACGGTACGAACTGAGTAACTAAACTAAAAAGTGAGGCAAAATGGAAAACTTACATTGAATCTGGATACTAGTGTTTTGATTCCCTAGCACGCCATGGTTACTCGTTAACTGGCGGAGTATAATAGTACCATAATAAAGTCGACATTTCTTCATCTGTTAGTGAAGTTACCGTGTACTGATATGTATTCTAATCTGGTTACGTCTCAATGTCGCCCTAGAAACAAAGAAAAAGGTAACGATTGTACTGCTTATATAAAAATTTTTCAGCTTTAGGTAATATCTTAGTAATAAGATAAAGCTGAATAGTTTGTTTGTTTTTTTTTAAGCGCGCTCAGGATGTATCAGTCCGATTTGAAAAATATTTTTTGTTGGATACCCCATAATTATTATCGAGAAAGGCTATGTGCCATAAAACATCACGCTACGATCAATAGTCGCCGAGAGGAGAGGGTGACATCGCGCCGAAGAAGCTAATATATGTATAACATAATATTATTTTTCATATTATTAATTTATTACATAAATTTTATTTATATAAAACTTTGTTAACAAAAATTATTATAATTATTGACAGTTTCCTTTAAGTGTTTGTTACATTGATATTATTTTATACACAACTAGGAGCGCATGTCTTTAATCTATCTTCAGGTAAATGCATTAATGAAATGATGTAATTCAAATGCATTAATTTCCTTTTCCTAATGATTCATATAAAATAGAATCATCCATTAATGGGTTTGGTCTTCCTCTTAATTTTCCTTCCTTTGTATGATTTTCCTGGTAATACCAATTTTACTTCCCTTTAGACTTTAGAAGTAGGCGCAAGTTCCTGACTAGCTTAATCCTGCGTCTTTAGTTACGTGGTCAGTTTCCTAGTATTGTAACGCAATATTTTTTATTTATAGTTAGTATTTATAGTTATTAACATATTGGATTTTTAACAGATTGGATGATTCAGTCATTAACACTTTGGATTGGATACAGTTCACATTTTTAACAGATTGGATTGGATTCAGTCATTAACACTTTGAATTGGATACAGTTCAACGAACGGTATCAGTACATAGTATAAAAAAAATCGCTATTCACCGTCTGTCTGTCCCTATGTATGTTTACATCTTTAAAACTACGCAACGGATTTTGATGCGGTGTTTTTAATAGATAAAAATCTTAAAGAAAGTTTATATGTATAATACATGCATATTGCACCTGAGCGAAGCCGGGGCGGGTCGCTGGTCTTTTATATACATATAGCAAATATTAAAAAAAACCTAGTTTCAAAGACAGACAGAATGAGGTTTAAAACAATGTCTATTTAGTGAAGATTGTAATTTCCAAGTATAATAATAATATTTTAATCTTTTCACACGATCATTGTCATACACAATAGCTATTATGTCTACATTTGAAACAACGTACTAGAATTTGACTAAACTGATCTACTTTTCTACTATATTCTTTACTATCTATATTAACATTATAAAGGGAATTGTTTTATTCCTTGTATGTATAAATAGTCTTGTATTGACGTCACTTTAAAAATTCGGCTTCCTACAGGAAGGGAATAGATGTGGAATATATGGGAACGTGGGTTAAGGAGAAAATGTTAATAATACATAATGTTTCTTATAGTTCTAATAGGCAAACATGTTTTATTGAAAATGATCATGAAGATGAGTCGCATTAAAACCGATTTCCCTAGCATTATCGATTTAAATTTCCATTGCACAATATTAGTTTCAGAGAATGGTTGTAAAGGTAGAGATAGATTACAAAACATTAAGTTTCTTTAATAGCTTCATGGTGTCATGTACTAAGCGATATTGATGATTCTCAGCGAGGATAATCATCTAGATATATGTAAACTAAATAACGAAGAGATAAGATCTTTTACATCCACAGTCCCATACATTATGATATAATTTTATGCTTTTGTTCTATGGAGGAGGTGGAAGGTTAAGAGCGCCACCTACTTATCTCGATACTTACTTGGACACTTCTCTAGTTTTCACCATGTTTTCATAATATTAACGAAAGTTGATCACATAACGCCTTATTCTATTTTCCCAATTGTAGAACGAAAAATAAAATTAATACTATCTTTGTATTATTATTGGAAATAAATCTAGAATTAGTAATATCCGAATAGCATGACATTTCAAAGATGGGAACAATATGTACCTACATGTAACAGGTTTGCTAAAGTTAAAATTATGCCATGACTATGCAATTTATTATTGATGATGATTATTTAAATGCCTGGTAGTGACAGAGATACGCATGAACCAAACAAATAAACTCGTCAGTTTTATTAGTATGGATTTAACATGTTACAAATAATAGTTTAATTTTAATCATACACTCTGAAGTCCACCATTTACCCTGTTATTAAGTACTTTAATTGATTAAACCACAGCTTGAAGGGTGTGACTTTAATTGGGCTGTTATTTCGTTACGAAAACTTATCATTACTACTGTCTCGTTTTTACCAGTACACACGGTATTAGTCCAATCATTCCATTACTTTAACTAGTGTGTTATTGCCTTATTACCACTGATTATTTCGTGGTTACTACAGGTTCTTAACTCGTCCCAACTATTTAGACCTGTTTTACCTTGATGATAATTTTATGTTGACAATCTGACTTGATTTAGATAGATACATCATTGAATGCCCTGGGCTCTACGGGTCCTATTGCTTTCATCGGGCACCATAGACGACCATAACGTTTTTCAACATCATATTGTATGAAAACTTCACTAATATAATGTTAAAAGAATTAACCATATTAATAAACCACAACCTGCCTCAAGAAATAGACGCTTACATATAAAACAAGTATATTAATTGATTAAAAAGTCGGAATATCATAAAATAGTAATGTAGTGACAATTCAATCGTGTTTCCGACAAATACGAGGCAGTTTTGGGAGCGACACGACTCGAGGTAATCGTTAACCTCAGCCGCTAGACTCACAAGGCCGCTCTGCGATCGATCATACATAATGGTCAAGTTATTTCCCATTCATATAATTTATAGGCTTCAGTTACCAAGCCGGTCGATCAATAACAAGGTGCTTATGAATGTTTACTAATACATTTTGTATGAAGTACCTACACTTGTCACGGCGTTAGATAAAACAATGTGGCATTAGATAGTATAAATATTTGATACTTTAACGGTAATAATATTTGCTGTCCGTTTGTTGCTGGTTATTTCTAGTACCTAGTTCTACGTGATTCACAAGAGAAGGAGGTTAGATTATTATTGAGTTACGTGTTGCATATTCTAATGCTCTAGATTGCATATAGCATTAGAATAAAGTTTTATCAAAAGATGAATAAGCTTTCCGTATCAATTCCCCTCCAAAAATAAGCGCAGTCACTATTCATTTAACGGCGATTATAATTCAAAAATAGACACATCACTACGACGTCAGCTGTAGCATCAATATTACAATATTGCAAGTCATGCTCCATGTGGAATTGCACACAGATATCTTAGTACTTTATATTGTGAGTCATACTAAAATCTATCCTTCAATGACTATGACATCGTCATTCAGTTAGGGAAGTGTGGATAAGTAGGTATTGTACGCCCTACTAATTGTATTAACACCCTGATGTTATTGTATCGCGCTGTCAACATTAAATGTATAATTGAATACAGTGACTGATAATGAAATAATCACACGTAGCGAGCTATTTGTGATATCTTATCAATTTGGGAGTACTTTGTATATTATCTTATTAATTTGGCTCTTTCGCTTTGTTGTACAAATTAGGCTGTAAACTTTTAAGATTATGAACTAACATACGCTAGTGATTATGAGTACTATTGAATAAAATGTAATATTAAATGATTATTTAAAAATATATATTATATTATGTACAATTTTAGCGTATATATCTGAAACAAAATGTAGAATATTAGGTATACTTATGTATCGTAGCTATAATAATATTATCACAACTTGATTTGGTGAAGAATTTTAGAAATGCATGACAAACTTGTTGTATTATCAGTATACTATGTAGCTCGTACATCTGAGTCTGAAACGAACATAATATTTACACATTTTCCTCTGAATATTGCAGGAAGCCGTGTCTTACGGGTGGGAGGTACCCAGCCACGAAAACATCAAAATCAACTGGGGATCACTCACAGAATCTGTACAGAACCACATTAAATCCGTGAACTGGGTAACCAGGGTTGACCTTAGGGATAAGAAAATCGAATATATCAATGGTTTGGGAGAGTTCAAAGATGCGCACACGATTATTGCCACAATGAAGAATGGGTCGAAGAAGGAGCTGACGGCGAAGAACATAGTGATCGCTGTGGGCGGGCGACCACAGTACCCTGACATTCCTGGCGCCATGGAGTACTGCATCAGCAGCGATGACATCTTCAGTCTCAGCCACCCACCCGGCAAGACGCTGGTCGTAGGCGCTGGATGTATCCTTTACCATAAATACTACTTCTTTAACAACATTCGTTCCTCTGTTTAAAGAACAGAATGGCTATTATTGTGACGTTGATTTTGACCAAACATCACAGATTCAAAGGTCCGATGTCGATATAAATACAATCTAAATTACATCCGTTTACAATCAAGATACCAAGGCACCAAGTATACCTACTTATGAGTTGTGTTACCAGTCTCGACTGCGTTCAATATTAGTTTCCGCTTCATTTACTACCTTTAACAGCTACATTGTGAGGAAAAACTATGCGAGAGTTATGAGAATACGATACAGTTATAATAATAGTAATTATAGTACTTTATTACTTATTATCAGAATGTAATATAATGTGCCTAGACTTTTCTCGAGATTAAACCCTGGTATGTCGGAACGTAGATATAGATATACGCGAAACAGAATGTGTTTTCTTTTGTGTCTCACATGCCGCCAAATAAGAAGTTAATGAAGTAAATATTTTAAATCCTATTTACTGAACGTCTTTATTTTATTAGGGCCCTTAATATATTGGCAACATATTCTTAACTCTTAAAAACAGACATTGGTTTGGAATGCGCGGGTTTCTTGAACTCAATGGGCTACCCGGCGACGGTGCTGGTGCGCTCGGTGCCGCTGCGTGGCTTCGACCAACAGATGGCGCGCATGGTCACCAACGAGATGGAGGAGAGGGGCGTCAAGTTTGAGCATAAGTGTGTCCCGCTCTCGGTGGAGAAACTCGAGTCCGGACAGCTCAAGGCTCGCTGGCTGAACACAGAGCTGCAGGAACAGTTAGTTCATCTATTTATTTATTCACAGTGCAGACTAAGTTTATCCACTTTTATTATTATCTAGACAGGAAGACCCATTGCAGCATTAAGTTTTATGGATAGAAAACAGACTTCTACTGCTTGTGCACCTATTGTACCCAAAATATGTTTACAAATATTCCCATTTTTAACTTAATAACTCTCGTATTTTTCAGACACGAGGATGTATTCGACACAGTATTGCTCGCCACCGGACGATATGCTCTCACCAAACAACTTAACCTGGACGCCGCCGGAGTTAGCGTGAGTTATCATAATTTGTACCTTATTACCTTGGCGATTTATAATTGAAAGATAATAAGTTTTGTATAAGTACTTATGCACTCGTACAAAACACACACACTATGAAAATGCTAATAATAATTAACTATATATTTTTAAATGCAAAAACCCTCCACAATAGTGAAGTGTGCAGTCTCCGAAAGTATTTTTTGAAAATGGACGTGGGGATGCATAGAGATGTTGTCGCTGTGGACAAAGGGCTTACTCCGCTCTCCTTGGCTAACGAGAACTGGAGAGAACCTATAATACTAAGCACTAATGATCGCAGGAATGTGTGGCAAAGTAAGGAGTTGCACGGACGCTACTATCGAGCCTTACATGGGCCAAATACGGATTTCTTAGCGTCCGTATCCTGGCTACGTTTCAGTAACTTATTTGGAGAAACGGAAGGTTTTGTCTGTGCAATTATGGACGAAGTTATGATGACGAACAATTATCGAAAATATATTATAAAGGATGGAACTGTTGACATTTGTCGGGCATGTCATCATCCCGGGGAATCCATCCGGCATATAATTTCGGGTTGTTCTCACTTAGCTAATGGAGAATACTTGCATAGACATAATCTTGTAGCCAGGATTATTCATCAACAACTTGCTTTGAAATATAAACTTGTAGAATCTGAAGTGCCGTATTATAAGTATCTGCCTGACCCAGTTCTTGAAAATGGAGATGTCACACTGTATTGGGATCGAACTATCATCACAGACAGGACAATTGTTGCAAACAAACCTGACATTGTGGTGATAGATCGACCAAGCCGTCGCACAATGATAGTTGATATAACAATCCCACATGACGAGAATCTAGTGAAAGCTGAAAAAGATAAAGCAAGTAAATATCTTGATTTAGCTCATGAGATTGTCGACATGTGGGATGTGGATTCAGCAGTCATTGTGCCGATAGTCGTATCTGCCAATGGCCTCATTGCTAAAAGCCTCGACCAACATCTGAGTAGGCTAGCGTTAGATGGTTGGGTCAAGGGCCTGATGCAGAAAGCAGTACTTCTGGACACGGCGCGTATTGTCCGGAAATTCCTTTCTCTGGAGCCCTGACCACCGGTAGCTTGGATTTCTCCCGTTACTGGTGGGCTACTGCTTTTTATATTTTTAAATGTTTTTTTTTTTATATACATATAATGAAATATTTAAAAATATATAAATCAAGTATGAAAATAAATAAAGGAAATATTAACTATATAATTTAATGAAATATGAAGACCTGGCTTAGTATACTAGTTGGGACATAATGACATTCCCCTCATGTATTATTAAATTGTAATTAATATTCAGCTAGGCAGGGTCGCAAATTGAACAAAAACTTGATGATAGTCCGGGGAGAATGCGACTAATGTGTGTTGTAATAACGATTAATATTCTATGTATTTCTATTCTGCCATACATGGATTAACGATTACTATATCAGATTAAATATTGAAGTCATGTTAAAAATGTGTGTGAACTTATCTATAATAAATTATGATTGGAAATATTCCATATAAATAAACAAAATGCATTATCTCAGTACTTAAAATGATTATGCGAGATTGTTCTGTAATCCGTGCAGATTAATTAATGAACCGAGATAAAATATTTTGATTGTTGAAATTATACTAAAGTTCGCGCACATATATTGTATGCTGTCCCGGGCCATCAGGCCCGGGACAAAATGCAATCAAATCAAAAAATACAAGCAAAAATGGAGATTATTTCTATCAAGAAATAATCTCCATTTTTAAGAACAGTATCTGCATAGTTTAAGTACCTGTTGACAAGAAAGTTGTGATGCAATATAATAGCCTACAGACGAAAATGAAATAACCGTAACTTTGATATAATGATTATCTTCATTATCAAGTAGATTGTGGCCTCGACTAATATCAATGTTATAACATATATGACCGGTATTGTACGTATATCTAAGTTCAATCTTGGTACAAAAAGGAAATAAGATATTTTAATGCGGTGTATTTAATTTCATTTCAACAAATATTTGTTGAGAATTAATTGTAATATTGCACACAATTATAAAATTAAACCTATGAATATTTATTTCGAGTTGTTATTTTAGGTATTCGACAGATATTAACTTGGCTACATTACTGCTACACACATTTAATACCTATATGTACCTCTGATTAATAAAATCCATCCTGTATAATAAATAACAAAATCCCTTATTACAGTGCGTGTCATCGAACGGTAAAATAGCAGCGGAGACTGAGCAGACGAACGTGGCGAACATCTACGCGGTGGGCGACGTGCTGGAGGGCCGGCCCGAGCTGACGCCGGTGGCCATCCACGCCGGCCGCCTGCTGGCGCGCCGCATGTTCGCCGCCGCCGCGCAGCACATGGACTACGACAACGTCGCCACCACCGTCTTCACGCCGCTCGAGTACGGCTGCGTCGGACTCAGCGAGGAAGCCGCTACCGCCAGGTTACTATATCGCATTTATTTCCTCCTGCGCTCATGTATATTTGGCAGTTTTTCGCGAATTATCAGCTCAAAGCTCCCTCCAATTCGCTTTCACCACATTAAAAATGAAGAAATTTCGTATTACAACATAGACTAAGATCCATTTTGGATCGCTGAACCTATGGAGTGAGCAACTTGTTTATTTGTGTAAACTGTAAAGTTTTTACCATAATGTCAAGCATGAAGTACATGACAATAGTTCAAACTAAGGTAATGAGTAATATTGATTGAGTAGTAAAATATAAGACAAAGATTGGATGCGGTCATAATGTAGAGTAAACTACATGACCATACATAATGTGTTGTCTTTTTAATAATATCTTAGCAGATTACAATAGCAGACTGATACTTATGTGTGTAGTAGTTAAGACATGGGTACACCCATGTAACTTATTATTGTCTGTCACGGTGTCTTTGAGACGGCATCACTGATTGTGTTCGTCACTTTATCTCGCACATATTCATTGATAGCTTATTGATACCTTTTTTACGGACATTAGCATAGCCTAATGTCCTTGTAACCAGGTAGAAGTATTTGATTGTCTTTTGGTTATCTTATAGAAAACTGCTTTCTGTGATGAGTGATATGGTATTTTTTGTAGTGAAAATAAGTGATCATCGCGTGTTTTGTTAGCAACACTCTGTAATTGTAACATTTTCTATTGCAGATACGGAGCAGACAACCTGGAGATATACCACGCTTACTACAAGCCGACGGAGTTCTTCATCCCGCAGCGTAACATCAAGAACTGCTACCTGAAAGCGGTGGCGTTGCGCGAGGCGCCGCAGAAGATCCTCGGCCTTCACTTCGTCGGGCCCGTCGCTGGAGAGGTCATACAGGGATTCGCCGCCGCTATCAAGTATGTGTTGCTATTATTGTAGTTCAAATGTTAATGTAAACTTCGAATAAATGATTACAAGTTGTCAATTTCTCGAAATAGATATTAGTTAAAATTTTAGAAAACAAAATACATAAAACTTTATCCAGTTTCACTTCGGAGTGGGAAATAATAAATGAATTCAAGATAGACTGTTTTCAAAATCCTGTCTCTATCGTGTTATTAATACAAAACTTTTAAATTTTTTTTCATGAGAACGATCAAACCCTCTTTGGAAAAACATCACTTTTCTTTCCTCGGCACATTGTACAATGTACCCGTATACTTCCAGATGCGGCATTACAATGGAGCAGCTGATAGGCACGGTGGGCATCCACCCGACGGTGGCGGAGGAGTTCACGCGCCTCAACATCACGAAGCGCTCCGGCCGCGACCCCAACCCCGCGTCCTGCTGCAGCTAGGCAGCGACATCTCGCACCACTCTACTAGATCACTTCTTTCCTAACTATTATTGTTAACATAATTGGCTGGAGACCGGAGCAGAATATTAACTATTTGTCTTCTGGTATACGAGACACAATACAAAATACATTGCGTTTCACGTTCTAGCACACAATGGGTTAATGGGTTTCATCTAAATCAAACGACAGCTACTCGTTGATCGAGTGAGCAAACGGTATTAAAGAACAACTCAGTTTTCAAAATTGTCAATAGTAGCACAATCTGGTATTGTCTGCTAACACCTTCAAGGAATAAAATAGATACTGCTTCTTAACTCTCCATTGATATTGTTAATAATGATACGTTCCTTGTTATAATTGATCCCCTCAGGATATTGACAAGAAGAAACAGTTTCGATTATCTTAACAAAGAATTTAGCATTTATTGATTTGTTTGTAATTACAGTGTGGAGGGGTAACATGTATTGGTTGAGGAATCATAATTATATTACACTCGTCGCTTACTGTTACAGAGATCTTTATAGCTTGTTGGTCACTGTCACCCCCCCCCCCCCTTCGTCGCCTTAAATTATAACTTATGTATTAACATTTCAAGTGATCAATCTCTTTGTGATAGGACATACAATGTCGAGTAACCAACGTTTCGGTGCTTAACCTCTACTTCTATCCAATTACTTTCAACGTTTATAGTACAAATTCTTGGAACATTATGAATTGTTATTGTCTCAAAATATGTAGGAACAAATGTATTAAAATAAAACATTGTTACTATGATGGAAATAAAATGGTACAGTATTATTGTTATTCTCAGTTGTACTCCACAGTCACATGTCGATATTATACAACATTCCTTCGCTCGCAGTAACAGAAATCAGGTTTCATACATTATGTAATTTAATTTATGTGATTTTGAACTTAAATAAAGTGATATATTTTTAATGAAAACTATTCAAGTTGCTTTTGATTTTTATTGGTTGGGTTTAGACTTGTAACGAGTCCTTTGAGGCGGAAATGATAGTTGGACATAGAACAAATAAATTAACACCCTTTGGTGTTCAACCTGAAAAGGAAACTAAATCTGCAGAATTATTCAAGTTAAGGCTTGTTTACGGTCCGTCGTTAGTGACGTATCGGTCCATCTCGCTGGTGGACTTGCATTTGAACCAGACCTGCGCCGTCGGCAGCGGGTAGTACTCGTGTGCCTGCACCAGCTCGTTGTCGAACCTCCAGAACCGAGGACCTTGGAAGAAGTAGGTGTCTGGGAACATTGCATAAAAATAAGAATAAGTAAAAAATCATATAAAAAAAACCATTATTGGTCATACGCACTTATAGCTTACACACCCACTGATAGGTGAGGAAATACTTATTATACTCTTTGGGTGAGGAGTCAGTGCTACAAGTTTTACACAAAATTATTCATTTAAACCTTAATAGATAAGTACCTACCTAACGTTAAAAATCATGCCCTAAATTTGTTCATACAAAAGTAGTCTCTAAACATTGGAAATAAGGTCTATAATGTAGTTAGTGAGAGCGGTCACCGGTGACCGCTTGGGGATATATGGGTGCTGTTTACAACTTTATTATGGACTTTTTTTTTTTTAAGGGGGGAAAATCATCGACTGACTGCTCCCGCCTGGGTGAGGCGGGAGGGAGTGTCAGACTCTTACTGACTAAAAACCACCCCGTTCCTTCTCCTGCACGTCGAGCCGGAGCCCCGGTTACCCGTTAGGTTCTCCGCGACTTTATTATGGACTAGCTTCTGCCCGCGACTTCGTACGCGCTGTCCCGTTTTCTCCCGTTCCCGTAGGATGTACAGGATGTTTTCTGTCGTAAGAACGTTCCCCTGACAATGCCAAACACAAAATAAAAGATCGGTCTAGCCGTTCTCAAGTTATGGCGTGTCAACGGGAAACGGGTTTCATTTTTATATGTATACTAGCGGACCCAACAGACGTTGTCGTGCATATACACTTGAATATATAAACAAAAATTCATTTAAATTAGTTCAGCTGTTCAGGAGAAATAACCTAAACATCGACTGCAGCGCCATCTGCCGGGCCGATTTGTGAATCTAAACCATTCCCAGATCCCCTTGAACACACACAAAAAATTTCATCAAAATCGGTTCAGTCGTTTGAGAGAGGTTGAGTGACATACACAATCACCGAAGAATTATATATAAAGATATATGTAATAGTTTATACCTGTGACAATAAATACCTAAGATATATTTTGATATGGGTTTTGTGGCACCGGCTTCTAACACTGATAGGTAAAAATAACTGTTATTGGTCATACGTATGTACTGATGTTCTTTACTATCTTTTGATTCTTAAGATTTTATTTCAGTGTTTTTTAGTTTTTGAGGTCGGTTTTTTTAAACGCAATTTTTCTATTTTATAGTTTTTAGTACCTACGTACTAGAATATATTATGTACAACCCACATCGGTGCAAAGTTTTCATTACCTAATACATACCTATTATTTAAGCTCTCAAACACCAGGTAGCTACTGTTAACCATTGTTCTCTTACTTAGCTATCATACAACTTCATCAATAGACATTTAGTCACAACCACCAAAGCTAGATGTGAAGTCCTCATTAATACGAATTAATCAAAGTCAAACATAGATAAGATAGCTCCTGTTAACCGTTGAGGAGTTCCCTCAACTATCGTACTACGTCATCATCAGACCCTTATTGATAACCATACCACACCTAGGTAGAAACTAGAAAGTCCTCATCAATACAAATTAATCAAACCCAAACACAATGTAGCTACCGTTAACCGTTGAGGAGTTCCCTCGACTGCTCCTCGGCTCCATCATCGGATCAACTCCAGACCTTTATCCGATTGTAGTGGTTTTAAATACTTAACGAAACAATTAACTAATGCACTAGTCGCCCCTACAATTTTTAAAGTTCCCTCGGTTCCCCTGGGATTCCATCTTCAAATCCTTTCTTCATGACAATGGGACCAAACGACCTTTCAAACAAAAAAAGAATTTTCCCAGGCGACTTCGTGTAATCGAGTAAGAAACATAAAAAAAATACAGTCGAATTCAGAACCTCTTCCTTTTTCTTGAAGTCAGTTGAAAATAGGCCAAACCAAAGAAATTGAAGTGTTACTGAAGAGGAGGATCAAAGAAAACATGCATGCATTATTTGAGTGCGACACAGAAACAGAAGTGAAAAGGGAGAGTTGCTGATGTGATGACGTAAACGCTGACTACATTTTTGTCTTGTAGCTTCAGACATAAAGAAAGGTTCGAAAAGTATGAGTATGTCGAATTATATTGATGTATCACTTCTCACCTCCCTTCCACACGACAGCAGCGTCCACAGGGTAAGGCACCTGTCTCCACATGGACATCTCCTTAGGGTACTTGGGGTCCATGGTACCCGTGCTCTCGTCAAACCGCCAGTATCTTTCCTCCTCAATCAGATACGTATTGTTGTTAAAGTTGGACAGGAACACGGTCGTTAGCTCCGTCACGTCTTCAGGTATTAAATACTCAGAGATAGAACCTTGCTTGATGAAGTGGAATGAACTGTCGAACTCCCAGTAACGACGACCTGTATTGGAATAGATCTAGTAGATACATATTAGGTATAGTAAGTTGAATTGTCATTTTATAACGTAGGATTTTTGATTAAGGTGCGACCTCTGACATGGGTTCGATCGGGGACGTCCTGAAATATTTAGGTAGGTATCCGTATTTAAACTGAACCCTCGAGCCCGCCTACGTGCCGGGTAGAGGAGACCCATAGTTCAACAGTAATTGTAAAAGTATGTAGGTAGTACTTGCCTGAAAAAATTACAACATTTCCATTTTGTCTCTGATAAATAGTTTTGATGATGTTGATACTAAGTGGCAATCCGCGGAAGACGTCGTGGAAACGCTTCGGGTAGCCCTCCTCCATCTCGTGCCGGTCATACAGTACCCACACCCACTGGAGAATTAAATTATTCTAGTGAGAAGCATTATATTAGGTACTGTATTGTGGATCAATTTTGCTGTAGGTACTATGCGGTGGATCAATATAATTTACCAGGTTTTGTGGTTCTTAAATGTTTACTCTTCAAGTTCACGTCCCTATATACAATGTTTAAGTTTTTCGGTTTCAACTTCCTCTGTGATGATCAAATTTTAATATTCTTAAAATATTAATTTCTCAAAAATCGCTGTATCTTCTGGAGAAAACGGGATACAAATCCCTTAACTAGAGATATGAGTCTAACAGACACAGACAGACGCTGCGGGACAATGTTTTACACAAGTAAGAAATGAGTCTCAGGCACAAACCTCCTCCTCGAAGACAAAGATCTTGTCGTTGATGACCTGCAGGGTGTCGTAATTGGTCAGGCAGAGGTCGGGCATGTAGTTCTCGTCCTCTTCACTGCCAGCCTTTGTGAACCGCGGCACTAAAGAGGTATGTGACACCGGGCTCTCTGTACTCTCCCCTGACGTCACTTGGTCTTTCACTGAAATCACGCAAAAGTTTGTATGGATAGATATTTTACCTTTTTACGTTTAAAAATATTTGCCCTCATTAGTACGTGTTTTCTTCTGCTGTGTATCAACAAGAGAACGTACAATTATAGAACAGAATAAAATCATTACCTAACTGTGGCTACATTATGAGTCTCACTGACTGACAAAACCAGTTAGTAAGTTATTCTTTAATGAACCACTTACAGTACAATTTCTGCATCCCTAAAATGTCATCAATATGCAGCCTCTCAACTGGGACCTGGTAGTACGGGTACATCACGGACGACTTCTCCTTGGAGTGAGACAATCCTAGCGCATGCCCTATCTCGTGCACAGCGACGGCGAAGAAGTCCGTGACCTCTTCGTCTTCCTCTTCAGGGTTGTCACCCCATGTTTCTTCATCATCGAAGTGCATAGCTCCGTGTGGCGGAGGGAAGGCATGTGCTACTATATGACCCGGACCGTCAAATGGAAACCTGTAAATAGTTATAAAATAATTATAATCAGCAGCGGTATGACTCGAAAGTGTTCGGGTATACACGAAATGGTACCTAACTATAGGTAAGTAACTGTCTCTCTTGACCCGACAGGTGGCAAGCCAGATCAATAAGTCGCGGAGAACCTAATGGGTAACCGGGGCTCCGGCTCGACGTGCAGGAGAAGGAACGGGGTCGTTTTTAGTCAGTAAGAGTCTGACACTCCCTCCCGCCTCACCCAGACGGGAGCAGTCATTTGATGATTCTCCCCCTTAAAAAAAAGCCAGATCAATAAAACTCGTCACCTACCCGTCTCCATGGTTGCCGCTCACAAATGAGACCTGTATGTCAGCTCGCCCTTCCTCAATGCGAATGAAGCGCAAGTCTCCGTGCGGTGCCCATATCCCGAGTCCTACTTCCATCCACGCCTCGACTCGTGACTTGTCCATGGTACTGGAGCCGTTCACCACCCTGAAATGGTTTTACAAAAGCCTTACTTTACATACTTTTTCGTACCCACATTCCATAATGCTTTTACATTACAGATGTATATTTAAGTACCATGTAATGAGAGGTTACTGGTACCTATTTAATCTATTTACCTGTAGGTGATAGACTTCTTGTTCCATGCTTGCTGTAAGATGTACCTCCGACTCCTCGTAGATGCTGTTGACGTCTCAATGTCTTTCACTCCACAACGCTTTTTGTTGAAGAGCTAAAAATCAATGGAAATACGTAATATCTAGGTTACTGTACCTGTGGTATAACTTTGTATAATTTAATATAGCATTTCCGTGAAGGATTAGAAAAACGTGATTTCTGAAGCATCTACCACAATCAGATTTAATGTATTTTGGTATTCAGGATACTGTTCCATCTAGGCTATTCTGTAAGATGTCAATTCGAACTCTCGAAGTGAGCGATCGCGTTTCGCCATTTCATTGGATGGAGAATAATCTCGACCGATGTC